AAATGGGGTTGAAGGAATAATTTTTTAAACAGAATGATAAGTTGGGGACTTCAAAAAATATTTTATTAATTCTAAAGGATGTAAATAAAGAAACTTGTGTTAATTTGACTATATTAGGGGCGTTAAAAATTTTACTCTTAATTAATGTTCAAGATTCTCCTCCATGCTCATATTTATTACCGGAATTCTTGCTAGCATACAACTGGTCGTTACAATATTGAGGTACACTTAATATTTGTAACACACACCATTAGAGGACACATTAGCAATTCATTAACATTCTTGGAATTTCATATTTAACTTTATCAATAATTCATCAATACTTCAATTATATTCCATAATCATCATATATAATAACTTAAATCTCAATTCTAAACCTAAAGCATACATAGCTCCTAAATTCTTAAATATCATACATAACTTCTAAAGTCATATTTTACTCATGAAGTTTCCAAATGTACTACCTCAATTATTCTTAATATATTGCCATATCCAAAACATAAGACATATGCCTAAAATACCAAATGGCTCTCTTTTGCTTGATGTTGACTCTTGGCTATACCAGAACCTTGGTCTACACATGTGTGCAGATAAATACCGACACGCTGATATATAAAACTCAATGGCACATTAAATCCACACACCAATTTTGCAATTGCAACATAATATATTCATATAAATGACATTATATCCATAAGCCACATAATTCATTCAAGATTTATTTGTGGATGAATTCAATTATCAAACCTTTGTTAAATCAACTGTCATATCATTCATCTTAAAGTGCTTTTTACATTTATAGCCTAAAATCATATGAATTAATTCCGATGAAGCATTAAGTGCACTAAATAATATGAATACTAAATGTGATAAATTACAAACATAAGATATAAAATTTACAAAAGCACTATATGTATTTAGTATTCACCACTTATAACTCTTTTTTTTTTTCCTGTTTAATTTTAGGGTGCTCATATACACTTAAGAATTAAGAAACAGCATGAGACTTAGCCAGATTAAAGAGCTATAAAATCCATTATCAGATTGAAGGGGCTATAAATAGCCAATCAAAAACTAGAAGGCTTTAAAAAGCCAATAGAACATAGATATAGAGGCATTCACGCAATATAAGGTACCCACATGCCAAACATATGATCATGTAATATCCATATAATCAGGATGCATTCGTATGCTTAGAGGCATTGTTAGATGCAGAATCCTGTAACAGAACTGCATTTTTTTTAGTGTCGGTAATAGTGATTTATCGCGATCTATGAATAAGTACCATCCGGTCGGGATTGTTTATTTTAGTCCGGAAAAAATTACTATGCCTATTTTAATTATTTTACTTACTACTTTATTTGGAGGCTGTTTGCATGATTTAGTTGTGGTAGAAAATATTTAATTAATATTTGTTAAAAAAAAAAAAAAAAAACAAACCAAAAGTTGTTTAACTTATCTGCCTCCTTATGGAAAATTTAACCCACTTATAAATTTGTGTCGTAGCTTAATAAGTGACACTTAAGACGGGTTTCACGATAATGTCGAGCTTTAATAAGTGACATAAGACGGTGCTCCGGCACCGATTGTGGCATCCGCCATCTAGTTCTCCGGGATTGGTCGGTGGGTGTTACAGAATCAATCTCAATCAAACATCAAATTCACACCGAGTAGTATAAGAGCCCAAAATCTTATTTTCTTTCTTTAAATCATACAAGTACTCATAAAACTTTAAGTTCTTTTAATTTACTCATTAATACAAAGGATTCTTAACTTGAGGCCCAATAAACTCAAAAACCGCATCCTTTATCATAAATAGTTCATCATAGGAAATTCAATGTCATAAAAGTCATTTTCTTCATTCAAGTCATATGTTCATCAAATGATTCATGCAGAACATCTTTAACATATATAGAAGCATGTCTATATATTAAGCATGCATATTTCATGGTATTTTGCAATGATTTTCGTAAGTGTATGAAATCGCAACAAGTAATATAGAATGAGTAGAGTATCATGTCCACAGGGATTGTATACCAAGTACCAAAATTATGTTAACCTACAATTATGTTAACGCTAACTATTATTTTAAACGGCAATAAGGGGAGGTTTATTTAAGAATTAAATTTAATAAGTAAAAGAAGAATGAAAAAAAATAACTCAAGCAACAGTATTTGAAGAAAAGAAATCAAGGATTTTAAAAGTACTAGGGATTTTGATTTCACTTAATTCTATCTAATTTATGTTATTAGTTTGCAAATCAATTTTAATTGTTCAAGTCGAAGAAACAACCCAAGAATCACTAACAATCTTTCTCAATGTTTTGTTATAATCTAATCCAATTTAATTACCTATCTTCTAATAGTGTAATCAAACATGAATTAAATCATTAAGTTTTGTGGTTTGTTTTGTGAATTCATGACCTAAGGTCATTAACTTATGAAAAACCCCCCATGAGTCAAACCATATAGCCATAGCTTCCGCATCGAATCATTATTCCTCACGTAATTTATACCTTTTTTCCAATATCAAGAACCCTTCTCCCGATAGTGGATTAATGGAAATAAATCAAATCCAGGGGAAAAACTCTGCTTGAACATTAAGTTTAATAATAAATTATCTTGAACAAAGAAAAAAATGAATATAATATTATAAATTGGGAAAAAAGAAATTAAAGAGACTACATGCAAAAATCCCTATTATGAGAGTTTTAGTTCGAACATAGTAATTAAATTTAAAGCTGCAATAAATACTTGATAAAAATTCCATAATGCAATCAACAATAATGAAAGGAATAAAACAAGATTAAGAGTTTAGAAGATAAAAACTAGTCAACAAAAACTAGTCAACAATTAATTCTGGACGGCTTCCTTGAATCTTGACACAAATCTTGAACACTTGAAGTCTTGGAGAGAGAGAAGAACAATAAAACAAATATTATCAAAACTGGAGATGTCTCTACAATGAATGACTCCTCTCTTTATATAGACTTCCTGGGAGAAAATCAGACTTCATTTAGGAAATAGAGTCCTCATTAAGTAAGAAATTTTTTTAGAAATAGGAAACTGTTTAGGCTTTGAATTTCTTCTCTATTAGGACTCTTTCATGTGCTTAAATAAGATTAGAACTTGATTTGCACATCAAGAAAGTATCTCAGGTGGGCCTAAGTGATAGAGACTGGCTGGCGTTTTCGATTCAAAACAGCACTTGATTTTTAGCACGGGCATGCTGTGAGGCACGGTCTGGGCATGCCGAAACTTATTTCTACGGAGGGTTCAGCACAGGCTGTGCTCAGGGGCACGCCTAGATAAGGATTTGTGGCACTAGCGTGCCACATAATACGGCTAAGGTGTGCTAGGCTTTGAGTCTCCACGATGAAATACAGTAGAGGTCGTGCTTAGGCAAACACGCCTTTGGGTTGATGTCCCCTTTTGGCACGGGCGTGCCATATAGCACGGCTTGGGCATGCTAGAGTCTGAGTCTCCACTTGATTTTCCTTGAATCCAGTATGGCCGTGCCAATGTGCATGGGTAGGGCATGCTAGAGCCTGAGTGTTTTGTTTTATTTTGCTCTTTTCTGTGCCAAAATCCTACAAATTTCCTTAAGATTAAGTGAATTATGATTCAAGGAAACTTTACTAAGGTGAATTATATTCAAGGGAAACTTTACACAAAAACATAAATAAACATAAATAAAACTAAAATAAAAACTAAATAAAGTAATTAAAAGTACTAAAAATCCTAATAAAAACTATATTAAAAATACTATAAAAATAACGCTATCATATTTACTCAAAAATTCTAACATTTCAAAGTCATAAGAAAACTTATGTCATAATTGTGATCTCATTATGCAAGCCTCATAATTCTCATCCAACTCATTTTAAACATTTATACTAGGAGAAACATAGATATACTCGAGGCAAGCATGTTCATACTCAAATTCCCAAAATCCCTATAACATGAGTCGTAGGAAAAGTCATAAACTTGAAGGTTTAGACAAAGCATTCTCATCAACACGTAAACACATTCTCTTAATCATAAATGAAAGAGGAATTTCTAATCAAAACACAATTTAAACCTAGGTACCTAGTCCCCCTAGGTTCGGCCAAGCATAGGTGAATATAAAGGGGGAGTTTTTCTCTTTAGTTTAGCGTGTCAAAACTTTCATTTACCACCCAAAAACATATTCATATAATTAATCCCATCAATAAAACATTTAAAGTCATAAACCCTCAATTTTAAGTCATAGGATATGTGATAAAATTTCACATTTATACAAAGCAAGTTTACCAACGTTTAAAACTTATAGTTAGCATTCATTTAGGAGTAAAAACATGATTTAAAAGAAATGAAATTGATGTCTTACCATCCCAGGGGGGTTGGCCATGCCATGGTGGGAGAGAAGAAAATCCTTCCTTTTTAGTTTTGTTGGGATTAATGCTCTGATACCACTTGTTAGATATCAGCACAGTGATAAACTCCAAGATTGATTAATAATTTATAACACCAAAAATAATAAGGGGAAAGACAACCAAAATAATACTAACACAAAACACCAAATATAATTGTATTAATAAGAAGCAAACATTCACAAAGTTTAAAGAAAAGATTACTTACTTGGTTTTTGCTTGAGATTACTTAACTTGGTTTTGCTTGGTGTTTGGCAATGAGAGGAGGGGTGGTTAATTTATAAGGCAATTTCCCCTCCTCATGTACGGTTTTATGAATTTGTTTACAAAAAATGGACGGTTCTGGGTTACAAGAAACATTCCTAGAGTTAGATAGATATTTTCATACATCTTAATAATGTGGAAGAATTGTGGAGTATTCTAGAATGTGGGCTTGGACTCCAACTTTGGGCTTAAGGCTTCCCAAGTTTCGTTTATTATATGCAAGCCCATTTTTGGTGGTGACTAAATTAATCGTGGATTTTAATACTCCCTCCCTCAATGATTTAATTTCTCTTCCTTCATCATTCCAATTTGTTGGACGAAAATCTTATATTTTATTTGTGTTTGAACTCTTTGTAAAATTCGGCTGGTGAATCCTCCGTCTTGAATAATTTCCATTTAAATCTCTCTTTGTAGAACCTTCTCTCTGATAGTGATAGTGAACTCCTCTGATAAAGTGATAGTGAACCTCCACGTGTTTTGTTCTCGCATGAAACACCGGATTCTCAGCCATTTGTATAGTCGAACGATTATCACAATTTAATGGAATTGGATAGTCGATGGGTTGATGCAGGTCGTTCATAAGCTGTGACAACCAAACACTTTCCTGAGCTGCTATTGCTGCTGCCCGATACTCAGCTTCTGTTGTGGAAAGTGACACTGTAGGTTGTCTCTTGCTGCACCAAGAGATTACTCTTGAACCAAGACTAAATGGATAGCCTGTTGTCAAGCGCCGAGTGTCGTGATCTCCTGCATAATCAGCATCGCAATAACCTTCCAACTTGATAATTTCACCTCTCTTGTAAAAGATCCCATAATCGATTGTACTTTTGACATATCTCAATATTCTTCGAACTGCTTCTAAGTGAGGTTTCTTAGGCTTCTGCATAAATCGGTTGACTACTCCAACTACAAAGGAAATGTTCGGCCGTGTCATAGTGAGATAGATTAGGCTATTAGGCTTCCAGCTAGTTGTCTATACATAGTAGCATCTTCGAGATCATTCCCTCATGAGCACACAGCTTGGAACATTAGCATCCATGGGAGTAGATATCGGCTGCAATATTCAATCATTCGCAAAACCTCCTTCAGAAGAATCTCTTCATTGTAAACACCCACCGACCAATCCCGTAGAAACCCAGACGGTGGATGCACACAATATCGGGCCGGAGCACATCTTAATGTCACTATAAATAAGCTAGATCAACAAAATTAGAAGTGGTTAAATTTTCATAAGGAAGGCAGATTAACATTTTTTTATTTTTTTACAAAAAATAATGTTTTAAGGAAATTCCTACGAAAATTTTCGCAAGAAGTTTCCCTAAAATTAACCTTGCCATACAAAAGAAAAATATACACACTTCCAATTTCTCCAAACCCCCAAAACTCCAATTCACACAACTACAACAAGCACCTTCTAAATTCCATCACATCGCATAATATCGAAACAGCATTCTTTCAGGAAATCTTATAATCATCATACCCAAAAATATAATAAGAATGTTATTTCCTTAATAATCATAACTCTTAATACATGACAAACTTATTAATATCCACCTTCACAACACAATATTTATATACCAATGCCAAAAATCACCATTTAACAAAATATTCCTACCCCAAAATGTGATATCTACTCTGATGCCTCGTCCTCTGGTCCTTGGTCTTGAAGAACACCCTCCGCTCCTAACTTGCGCGTGATAAAAATCAACGCGCTGAGTGGAAGACTCAGTGGTGCTAAATAACCAACAATTTAATGAACAATAATAGCCAATGCAAAACTTAAATTACTCAACTACATAAATACCGAAATCGCATTCATTTAATTCAAATACTTTGAAAGCAATGAGAAGATTATAAATACAAAAATGTCTTCATTCTTTTATAGCAACAATAAAATTTCATTTTTCGTTAAGGCTCATACTCATGCAGAATGAACATAAGCAGATTTGATCGTGGCCTATTCGTGCCTATGTTAGTGCACCCCCCATTCACATACTCGTGGGGCCTATGAAAGCAACCACCGATTGGGCCTATGAAAGCACCACCCCCATCACACAATCGTGGCCTATGAAAGCACCCACCGTGGCCTATTTTGGAAGCACCACCGTGGCCTTAATGGAAAGCACCAACCCCATCACCACAAATAAGCGCGTCCGCCTAATTTTATAAGGGCTGATAACCCCGGCTGATAACCCTAGCATATGATCATAGCTTCACAATAACAAAATCCATCTCATCATACCACGTCTCAATCATGCATAGTAGAGCCCAAATCAAAATCAATCTTTCACAAAAGCAATAATTCTTAATCAAAACCTCTTCATTTCTTAATACTCATCAGTTCAAAATTTTTTATAGATATATGTAGACTTAATATAGTATAAAAGTACATAAATCAAGAACTTTTCAGCATTTTCATAAACTTGACCCTTGCTGGATTTTTAACACATAATTTGAGTTATGGGGCTCCAAATTGAATGAAACTCCAAATTGAATGAAATTAGATTCATAGAAAATTTAAGACAAAATGCTACAAATGTTCAGAAGGGACCATAGGCCCAGACAAAGAGTTAAAGATAGCAAAACAAAAGCTCAGAACACAGGCACCAACAGATACAGACCTGATTCAGCAGAACCAGTCCAATGTTTCTTTGAAATTCCTACTTCACCAAAAACACTCAAATTGAAACCAATCCAGAACGAGAATTCTCAAGAAATAGGGAAAAAAACTTTTATGAAGAACTCAGGAACTAATGCTTGTCATTATAGTGGTCAAATGGGGCACTCAATTTAGTAATTGCATTGTGGCCCGACAACAACAAGAGTCAGTTTGGGTGTTTCAGCCATAAGTTGAGCTATGTATATCCAATTTGGACACATGAGGATGGGTTGGAAAGATAAGAAGTAATAAATGATATAACTTTTATGAAAGAACATAAAATTGTTATTTTGCCATTTGAGTGGTCAAAATGGACAATCATTTCGAATTAAGACAGTAAGGACATTCATTAACAGAAACCAGTTTTGGTATTTAAATCATAAGTTGAGCTACAAGTATTGGAATTAGACATAAGATTATGTTTTTGGAAAGCTGAGAAATAGAGCCTACAACGTTCATGAAGAAGTCAGAAACAAATGGGGAAGTATAAAGGGGTTCAAAAATGAGTCGGCAATCCCACGGCATTAGAACACAATCTCACATTAAAATTCAGCAATTTCAACAAAAAACATACAAAGTTCCCAAAAATTATATCAAAAACCCAACCATTGTTTAAAAAACAAACTTAAACAAGTGAAATTTATGAATTGCCACTAAACCTTATTAACAAAGCTTGAATTAAAGCTTGGAAGGCCTTACTCCTTGCTTTCTCTTTACCCTTTTGAGGATGGTTCTCCAACCTCTTCAAAGCATGAAAAAAATTCAACATTACAAGCAAAACTTTGAACAAAAAAAGAAATAGTTGGAGGCATGATTTAAATGCATCAATAACATGTCTAAACCATGAATTCTACTTAACATTCACAAAACTCAAAAACCACAAACTTACTTGCTTTCAATTGCGTTAACTTCAACTTCTCTTTTGCTTTTATCACCAATTCTCAACTTCTACTCCTTAATTTCATTAAGCATTAAGTTCCTATTTCTATGGTTTAATTAGGTAGTTTGCGGGTAAATTGGAGGTAAGGAAATGAAGAAAATGACAAGAAGAAGGAAGAAGATGGAAAATTGGCGTGGAGAAGAGAGAGGAAGAAAGAAAAAAAAATGTTGTGTGTTTACTTAAGTGCCAAAAAGTTCAAAATTGACTTCCTAAAATCATTGCCAAATGTGTGGCTAAGATCAAGTCATAAATTAATTCTCATCCAATGGCTCTAAATCCTCCAAAAACCCTAACTTATTATAACCCACCAAAAAAAACCACAAAAATAACCTAGTATACCACACCTAGAAATATATGCATTTAATACATAAAACTTCTCTCAAATAAATATTCATTAAATATTTTTCTACCCACCTAAATCATGCAAAAGCATGCTCCAAAAAGGTGAGGTAAATAAACAATATTTAACTATTGCCATTAGGTAATTTTTCGGACTAAAATATACCAAAGTCTCGGACGATGGTACTATTCACAGGACCGGTAAAATCAATTACCGACACTAAAAGAAAAATCAGTCTGTTATATGCATACTCTATGTCCTGAAAGGTACAAACCTTCCATGGCCTTCTTTCTATTCTCCATTTCCAAGGAAATTGCCTGAGCTTTCCTTAGCTTCTTTCATCTTGAAACGGTATCTTTCATCTTGAAACGAGTAGCCAAATTCTCTCGAATGAGTTGAATCTCTTCGATGTTGTCACTAGTGACTATTAAATCATCAACGTATACTAGCACTATAGCTAGTCTTCCTTCTCGATCTTTCACAAACAAACTGGAGTCTGCTAGTGTCATAGCATATCCATTCTTGATAAGGAATTCTACAATCTTGCCATACTAAGCCCTCGGTGCTTGTTTTAGACCATAAAGAGCTTTCCTTAGACCATAGTTAAGATTTTCACGACTTTTGAACCCTGGTGGTTGCTCCATGTAGATTTAACGATCAACTTCACCATGTAAGAATGCGTTCTTCACATCCATCTGCACAAAGGCCATGACTTATTAGCTGCTAAAGCTAGTAATACTCGCACAGTAGTGATCTTGGCAACTGGACTAAATGTCTCATCATAGTCCAAGCCATACTGCTGAGAAAATCCACGCGCAATTCAGTCTTGCTTTGTATCGTCTCAATTGGATTCCTATCCGGGCGAGTTTTGATTTTATAGGACCCATTTCAAGAGGATGCGGCGGGTTTGATTTTATAGACCCATTTGCAAGAGATGGGTTTCACATCTTTTGGTTTTGGCACTAATTCCCATGTTTGATTTTGCTCCAGAGCAGCAATTTCTTCTTTCATTGCAGTAGTCCACTCCATCTTCTTTGATGCTTCTTCATAAGTTGTTGGCTCCTTAATCTCTGCTATAGCAGCATTTGCATATTTTGGATTAGGCCTTCTTTCTCGACCCGATTGCCGAAGTAGAGGACAATCCGGATCTTGTTTTTCTTGACTTGGCTGCTGTTGTTCGTATGTACTGCTGCTGTTGTTCGTATGCACCTATCTTCCGTGGGTTCTTCGATTTCTCTTGAACTATGGATGGCTTTGTTTGACCTTTCTCTGGGATGAACTCTCCCTCTCCTATCTTCTTTTCAACTTTTTCTTGAATTTCTTTTGAGTCTGGTAGCAGGATTGCTTAAGATGGCCACCAAGATGATGTCTCATCAAAGACCACATTTCGTGAAATATGGCACTTTTTAGTTATAGGATCACAATATCTAGGATCACAACATCTCCAGCCTTTTCTTTGCTCATCATAACCAACAAATATGCAGCGAAGTGCCTTTTTGTCAAACTTGCTTCGAAGTTCATCTGGAACGAAGACATAACACACACATCCAAAAACATGAAAATGACTTACAGTTGGTTTAATGTTCCACAGTTTCTGGAATGGGGATGTAAACTCCATTCTTACTTGAGGTAGTCTATTGGTGACGAACACAACTGTCTTTATGCACTCTGCCCAAAATCTAGCCGGCACATTCTTCGTATAGAGCAAACTCCTGCAAATCTCCACTAGGTGTCGATTCTTTCTCTCAGTAACTCCATTATGCTGCGGTGTTCTTGGACATGTGAATTGCCTTCGAATGCCTTGCTCTTGGCAATATTTAGTGAATTCGTCAGACGTGTACTCTCCACCATTGTACTCTCCACCATTGTCGGTGCGAAGGCATCTAATTTTATTTCCGACTTCTTTTTCAATTTTGTTCTTAAAAGCTTTGAATTTTTCAAAAACTTCTAACTTCTCTACCATGAAATCTACCCAAACATATCTCGAGTAGTCGT